GTTCCATTATATTGATGACGTTATGCTAATTGGATCCAGTGAAAAACAAATAGCAAACACACTGGACTTACTTTTTGAGACATTTGTGTGCCAGAAGATGGGAAATAAATCCAACTAAAATTCAGGGACTTTCCACCTCAGTAAAATTCCTTTTCTTTTATTTATTTATTTATTTATTTTAATTTTTTTTTTTTTTTTTTTGAGATAGAGTTTCACTCCGTCACCCAGGCTAGAGTGCAGTGGCATGATCTTGGCTCACTGCAACTGCTGCCTCCTGGATTCAAGCGATTCTCTTGCCTCAGCCTCCTGAGTAGCTGAGATTACAGGTGCACACCATCAAGCCTGGCTAACTTTTGTAATTTTAGTAGAGACAGGGTTTCACCATGTTGGCCAGGCTGGTCTCCAACTCCTGACCTCAGGTGATCTGTCCACTTCAGTCTCCCAAAGTGCTGGGAATACAGGCATGAGCCGCTGTGCCCAGCCCTCAGTAAAATTTCTAGGGCTCCAGTGGTGTGGAGCCTGTGGAGATATTCCTTCTAAGGTGAAGGATAAGTTCCTGTACTTGGCCCCTCCCACAACCAAGAAAAAGGTATAATGCCTAGTGGGACAATTTGGATTTTGGAGGCAATACATTTCTCATTTGGGTTGATTAATCTGGCCCATTTATCAAGTGACCCAAAAGGTTGACAGTTTTGAGTGGGGTCCAAGACAAGAGAAGGCTCTGCAACAGGTCCAGGCTGCTGTGCAAGCTGCTCTGCCACTTGGGCCATATGACCCAGTAGATCTAATGGTGCTTGAGGTGTCAGTGGCAGATGGGGTTGCTGTTTGGAGGCTTTGGCAGGCCCCCATAGGTGAATCACAGCAGAGGCCTCTAGGATTTTGGAGCAAGGCCCTGCCATCTTCTGCAGATACTATTCTCCTTTGGAGAGACAGTTCTTGGCCTGTTACTGGGCTTGCAAGGAAACTGAATGTTTGACTGTGGATTATCAAGTCATCGTGGAACCTGAACTGCCCGTCATAAACTGGGTGCTTTCTAACCCATCTAGCCATAAAGTGGGTCATGCACAGCAGCATTCCATCATCAAATGGAAATGGTATATTTGTGACAGGGCACGAGCAGGTCCCGAGGGCACAAGTAGATTACATGAGGAAGTGGCTCAAATGCCCGTGGTCTCACTCCTGCCACCCTGCCTTCTCTCCCCGAGCCTGCACCGATGGCCTCATGGAGAGTTCCCTATGATCAATTGACAGAGGAAGAGAAGACTAAGGCCTGGGTTCACAAACAGTATGCAGGCACTACCCAAAAGTGGAGAGCTGCAGCACTGCAGCTCCTTTCTAGGACATCTCTGAAGCAGTGAAGGGAAGTCTTCCCAGTGGGCAGAACTTCGAGCAGTGCACCAGGCTGTGCACTTTGCATAGAAGCAGAAATGGTCAGATGTGCAATTATATACTGATTTGTGGACTGTGACTAACGATTTAGCCGGGAATTTGGGGACTTGGAAGAAGCATGATTGGAAAATTGATGACAAAGAAATTTGGGGAAGAGGTGTGCGGATGGAATTCTCTCAGTGGTCAAAAACTGAAGACATTTTATCCCATGTGAGTGCTAACCAACCTGGGCCCTCAGCAGAGGAGGATTTTAATAATCAAGTGGATAGGGTGACAAGTTCTGTGGACCCCACTCAGCCTTTCCCCAGCCACCCCTGTCATCAATCAATAGGCCCATGAACAAAGTGCCCACGGTGGCAGGGATGGAGGTTACCCATGGACTCAGCAACATGGACTTTCACTCATCAAGACTGACCTGGCTATGGCCACTGCTGAGTGCCCAATTTGCCAGCAGCAGAAACCAACACTGAGCCTTCGATATGGCACCAATCCTCAGAGTAATCAGCCAGCTACCTGGGGGCAGGTTGATTATATTGGACCTCTTCCATTAAGAAAAGGGCAGAGGTTTGTCCACACTGGAATAGACACTTACTCCAGATATGGGTTTGCCTATCTTGCACACAATGCTTCTGCCAAGACTACCATCTGTGGACTCACAGAATGCCTTATTCACCATCGTGGTATTCTACACAGCGTTGCCTCTGGCCAAGGCACTCACATATGGCTAAAGAAGTGCAGCAGTTGGCTCGTGCTCATGGAATTCACTGGTCTTACCATGTTCCTCATTATCCTGAAGCAGCTGGATTGATAGGATGCTGGAATGGCCTTTTCGCCCAGCTAGTTTTTTGTATTTTTTTTAGTAGAGACGGGGTTTCACCGTGTTAGCCAGGCTGGTCTCGATCTCCTGACCTCGTGATCTGCCCGTCTCGGCCTCCCAAAGTGCTGGGATTACAGGCTTGAGACACTGCGCCCGGCCTTGGAATGGCCTTTTGAAGTCACAATTATGTCAACTAGGTGACAATACTTTGCAGGGCTGAGGCAAAGTTCTCCAGAAGGCTGTGTATGCTCTGAATCAGCACCCAATATGTTTCTCCCATAGCCAAGATTTACGGGTCCAGGAATCAAGGGGTGAAAGTGGAAATGGCACCACTCACCACCACTCCTAGTGTTCACTAGCAAAATTTTTGCTTTCTGTTTCTGCAACATTATGTTCTGCTGGCCTAGAGGTCTTAGTTCCAGAGGGAGGAGCGCTGTCACCAGGTGACACAACAATGATTCCATTACACTGGAAGTTAAGATTGCCACCTGGACACTTTGGGCTCCTCTTACTTTTAAGTTAACAGGATAAGAAGGGAGTTACAGTGTTGGCTGGGATGATTATCCTGGACTGTCAAGGCGAAATCAGTCTACTATTCCACAATGGAGGTAAGGAAGAGTATGCATGGAATACATGAGATCCATTAGGGCCTCTCTTAGTATTACCATACCCTGTGATTAAGGTCAATGGAAAACTATAACAGTCCAATCTAGACAGGACTACGAATGTCCCAGACCTTTCAGAAATAAAGGTTTGGGTCGCTCCACCAGGAAAAAAACCCACAACCTGCTGAGGTGTTTGCTGAAGGCAAAGGGAATACAGAATGGGTAGTAGAAGAAGGTGGTTATCAATACCAGCTACGACCATGTGATCAGCTGCAGAAACAAGGACTGTGGTTGTCGTTATGATTTCCTCCTTCTTTTGTTAAGAACATGTTTGTGCATGTACACACTTGTACTAAGAAAATATCTTCATTCCAGTTTTCCTTTATCATGTGACATAAGATTTTTTGACTTATGTCAGAATTTAAGTATTGTTAACTTTATGTAACAGCATTTGGGTTGCGGATAGGTGCACTTCCAGTTGTATGAAGGATAGTTGTGTTATGTTAGGTGTAATTATGACTCTATTATTGTCCTTTTTGAAGATTATGTATGATCTTAGGAGATGTGTATGGGTTCAAGTTGACAAGTGGTGGACTTGTGATGGTTAATACTGAGTGTCGACTTGATTGGATTGAAAGATCCAAAGTATTGATCCTGGGTATCTGGGAGGGTGTCATCAAAGGAGATTAACATTTTGAGTCAGTGGGGTGGGAAAGGCAGATCCACCCTTAATATAGGTGGGCACCATCTAATCATCTGCCAGCATGGCTAAATGTGAAGAGACTAGACTGGCCCAGCCTCCCAGCCTACATCTTTCTCTCATGCTGGATGCTTCCTGCCCTCAAGCACTGGACTCCAAGTTCTTCAGTTTTTGGACTCAGACTGGCTTCCTCGCCCCTCAGCTTGCAGATGGCCTATTGTGGGACCTTGTGATCATGTGCGTTAATAAGAAAATCATATATATATATATATCTTTTTAGTTCTGTCCCTCTAGAGAACGCTAATACAGCAGCTAATATTTATACTAAGTATGTTTTCTCAATTATCCATGCCCATAGCACTATCTGGAAAGGGAGACGCTTCCTCACAGCCAATGGGTCTCCCATTAAACACCATCAGGAAATTGACAGGCTACTATTCTCAATCTTCTTTCCATGGGAAGTGGCAGTAATACATTGTAAAGGCCACCAAAAGGGGACAGATAAAACAGCTGAGCGAAATAAGTTGGCAGACCAAGCTAAATTGACAGCAAAAGCGCCCCATATTTCTGATCCAGTTGAGGTCCCCCTGATCTGGAAGGGCTCCAGAAAAGAAAAAAAACCCTCAGTATTCTCCTGCGGAGATATAATGGGCCACCTCTCAGGGAAAGAGCTTTCAGCTCTCAGGATGGTGACACTCAGAGGATGGCAATACGTAAAAATTTATTTAGAATGGTCAAACAGGTACTTACTGTTTGTGAGGCTTGCCTTAAACATAACGCCAACTAACAGATTCTTCCCCCAGAACACCAAGAATAGGAGACTACCCAAGGGAAGACTGGCAGATGGGTTTCACCCATATTCCAAGGATAAGGGACATCCAGCCTCTGTTCGTATGGGTGGATACCTTCACTAACTGGGTAGAAGTATTCCCATGCCAGATAGAGAAAGCCTCTGAGGTAATAAAAGTACTAATCAATGAGACAATTATTTGCTTTGGACTCGCTAAGTACCTCCAGAGTGATAACGGTCTCGAGCTTACTGAACCACAGGGCAATTTCCTCCCACACTTAGTAAGGAAACACCTGAGCTAAATAAAAGAGACATCCCTGCAATGTTTATTGTCACACTGCTGCCCATTGCCAGGTTACCAGAGATAATTTGGAGAGTCTCATGCCATCTCTGCCTTTAGCAACCTGGTCAAGTATCTGCTGGACTTCTAGGCCACAGAAAGATGGCCACGGAGGGGTGCAGAAATAGGCTGAGGGTTCTTGGGAAGAAAGACACGATGAGGCAGTAGGAGGTGGGGAAGAAAAGAAGACAGACTTTCACAATGGAATTAGGCAGTGGGGAGAGATCCGTTTCCCCACGTCAGGGAGAAGAAGGTATAGGTGGGGAAGGGGGTGGCCGGGAGCAGAAGGAAGAGGACTCAAGATGGAAAGGGAGCTGCTGTGCCCATGGCAATATCACTTGGAGAGGTTGTCTTCATACCTTCAAGCCTTTTCCCCTGGGCTTTTGATTGTGTCTGTGCCCCATTTCTTGTCCTTTCTGCAGATGTCCAGTGAGATTACTTCATCCTTGTGCTGTTCTTGTGTGGCTTTCTGGGCAGCAGGGATGTTGAACTTCCTTTCTAACACTGTGCCAGGCAAGGCAGGGAGCATTCCTCTGCCCTTTCTCTTGTGCCAAACTGGAAAAGTGCGGTCTAGACTTCAGTGAGAACCCTGCCAGCCGAGCCCTGTGCATCCACTACCTTAACACAGGGTGTTTTCCCACCAGAAGCCCTGCTATGTTCTCCTGGCCCAAGTAGGGGATTCCATGCCTTCCCTTTCATGCTCTTAGCGCCAGCAGCCAAGTTTCTCCCTTCCAGAGTCTCCAGGGATGGCAAATGTAAGTGGAGACAAACCTCATCAGGTGCCCATCCCCTAAAAGGTTAAGTGTGTATTTGTGGCTGTGGTGCCTTTGTGTTTTCATTCTCTTCCCCTTTCTGTAAAATTTGGTCGCCTCTGTGGTTTTATACTTGGTCAAAAGTACTCGTCTTGGCGATGCACTTTTGTATGCATGAGAGAATTCGGGGAATGCCCATGTGGTACAAGAAAGGACCCCTGACCCCTTTCCTTCTCTGTGGTCCCCGGCATTAGATTGGGGGTTCCGGGAGAGGCAGGTGAATGTCCTAATGTGAATTGTTTATTTGCAACTGGAGTGTTTTGAAGTCTTTGGTGTTGCGCTGAGAGAGGACACCGCCACCTGGTGTTCATGAGGTGTCTGTGCAGAACAGTAAATGGCAAATGAACCACCACAAAATTGTTGCTGTTGTTGACCTTGCGCTTTTTGTAGATTAGTGCACCTATCTGTGAGGGATTTCGGTTATCTCCCTGAGTCTGTAAGCAACCACAAGCCCTTCCACTGGATGGGGGGAAAGTCCCTTCAACCCCCACTTAAAATATATATATTCTACGTTGTTCTTACCCACATATTTGACCTGGTTAGACTCTTCACCTAATAGAACAGACAATATGGCTGGGAAAATAAGTAAGTGAAAATGTGGGAGAAAAATCATCGTTAAAATTGTGAATGTTCATTTTTAAAGGTTCCTTCGCCTGACTACAATATGATGCATGTTTGAATTGTTGCTTCTGCCTGTTGTTTCTTGAATAAATGTTTAATGTTAATCATCTCAAAACTGACAAGAACACAAAAATAAAACACAAATGCAGAGCCACCTTTGTTACCCAAATCTGTGTCTATTTCTGATAGTCCATGGGATGTGGTCTTCTTGGAAGCCAGGGTTGGTCTCCCCACAGACCCCAGCCTAAGACCACCAGTTAGGAACCCAGGACTTGGAAGGCAGAGCCTGTGAGCTCTTCATCTGCAAAATGACTTGATAAATGCAACCTGCAAACTCCCATGTTCAGACTTCATATGTATGAGCCGTTGGACAGAGGGTTTCTTAGTACATACTTTAATGCATGTTTATGTGCAATCTTGTTAGTGGGAATATAAGTTTGTGAAGAACCTCTCGTTTCAATACGCAGTTAATGCATTAAAAGCCTGGGAATTTGGGGCTATATTTTTCCTTTCTGACTCAATAATCTTCAAAGAATTCATAGGAAGTCAGTATTTGCAGACAAGTGGTTAACTTGGCTAAAACATACAAAACACTCAGAACCCACAAAACACTCAGAGGTTTAGAAGAACGTTTTATGCTTAAGAGGCAGGGTTAAGTAAAGGGACTATAGAAATCAGTGTCCCTGGCTGGGCAGTCAGGAGAGCAGGGGTCAAATTCTATGACTCACTTCCCTGTATCTCAGTTGGAAATGAATGGGTGTCCTGATTCCCACCTTCCCACACGCTGTGATACTTCAAACTGCTTGGTGAAGGGCCTCTTCTCAGCCCAAGATCTTGATTGTGAACATTAACAAAGAGAACATTCATCCTTCACAGAAGATAGCTCAGTAATGATATTTGATTTGGTGAATAAATATATCATTTAAAAAACATTTTGGGAGGGAACACGACAGTAGTGGAGTAATTACAATCAGATGAGATTGGTATTAAAATTGAGTAAAATCCCAACTATTACCAGTTGACAATCATGTGTCCTGCTAACTGTCCCAGGGCTGTCAACCTGGAACTGAAATAAATGGGTTACAAATGGTGCTGGATGCCTTTTTCAGTTCATTTGAAAACATGGATTTGATCATGGTCAGCTCCCTTTCTGCTGGAAAAAAAGAGGAAGGGTCCATAACTGGTGTTACCTACTCTGTGTTGGTTTTAGGGAAGAAATAATACTTAGATGTGGGCTTACTTTAACTTCTTGCCTTTTTCACCCCCAGAACAATGCAAACTTATTGAAATGTGGTGTGCGTGTGTGTGTGTGTGCATATAACAGGAAGACGGGAAGGGTAAGGACCATTATTGAAAGAGGAAGGGGTTGTACTTTGGTAACATAGAACATGAAACCATAAAATTTGGTCTATCCAAATCTACAGCTCCTTTCAATGCCCCATTTATGATGAGCTAAGAGGAAGTTGGTTGTGGGTAAGAATTTCAGTTTCTCCTGAGCACCACAATCTTTTTCAGTTTTTATCTGTCTTTCCTTACTCCTTGTCTACAAACTGTCCCTTCCCCGTTGACCCACTAATAGAAGCCTATATGTTAAAATATTTTCGGAGGACTTCATGACACTAGTCAGAAGTCCAAGAGTGGTCTGGTCCCAGGAAGACTTAATGGGGCAGCTGGAAAAAAGTGGAATTGGCTCAGGCAACATCTTTCTTTTCAGATGCTGTTTAGATGACATGGAGGAGATAACACAGTCTGTCAACAGGGAGGCCCAAAAGTTAAAAAGCAGTGGCCAACCAGGACTTGTGTCTTCTCAGGGTTTTGCCAGGCTCTAGTAGCATGAAATCCAGACAACTTTAAAGGTGAGGGAGCGGGGAAGACAGAGAGAGAGAGGTGCCTTTAAGCAGAAATTTTTACAGCACACACATTGGAAACCACCGCAGACTTCAGAGTAAATGCATAGCTTCCAAATCCAAATGTTAACATTCCCCCCCACCCCCCTCTGTTTTTACACAAATGCCTTCAGGTGAAGAAAGTGACACACATTGGGAAAGGGCACCTGCTTCCTATTTTAGTCCCAGAATGACTTTTGCTTCAAGAGTCCCAACTGTTCCCGCTCCCCAACCCCACCCTCGTTCAAGTAGCAATATGAATTTCCTGGCCCAGAGACCTAAACAAGAAGTCTCAAATTTCTATGTGATTTTGGTTGCACTTGTCATTTCAATACTTAGGAAAACAGAAGTAATCAGAAATGACCATGCTGTTTGGAGATGAGAGAAACCCTATTCAGGGAGAGATTTAAGATTTAATGCTCTTGGTCAGGGGTGTCTCCAGTTGCTGCAGTGCCTGAAACCAAACTCTGCCTCTTCCAAAATGCTCAGTATCCCCTCTTCTTGAAATTCCTGGTGCCATAGATGGCCAGGGTGATGACAACAGCCAGAATGGTGGTGGCCCCCACTGCGATATCAGCTGTAGTCCCTCCTGACAGACCACCACCATCCTCATGGATGGCATTCATGGTGCTGTGCAGCTCTATCGACTCTCCCTACCTCCACTGGTGGGTCTGGGAATCTTTAAGCCAGGATCTCACATTCTCAGAACTAGTCACTATGACAGCGTTGGTGTCAGCCTCACTCATAAGGGGTGGTTGGGTGAAAGGCAGGAGACTAACAGGAGGAAGGAACTTTTCTGTAAAGAGCCTGGCCTTGACGCAGTAGGACACTTGGCATCCATCCCTGATGAGGGCTAGGTGCTGGCTGAAGTCCCTTGGCCACTTTTTCAGGGAAGGTGCCCCTCAATCTTTGGATATGCCTGGATCCACCAGGGGGTTCCCAACTGTGCAGCTGAAGAACCCACCAAAAGGGACCGCAAACCTGCTTCCCAACTCATAGTCCTGAGAAATGCAGACCTTGAGGTTTTCAAAGAGTCTCAGGGGAAAGTAGCCGGCTGGGCATGACTGTGCATTTGTCATGGGGTTTATGCTGTTGCTGCTGAAGAGGCCTCCGAAAAGCAGTCGTGAGTTCTCAGGTACTTGGCTACTGGCCACACACCAAAAAGCCCTGAATTCAGCCTTTGCCACCTGTAACACATCTTCACACACGGTCTTGCAGAAGACAAGGAGGGTGCACTTCTTACAACACTCCAGATGGTTGTAACCCTCCTCACGAGTCTCGGATAGCAGGTACACTGGGGAGAAGCCAGAGGGGCAGGAGAAATCACCAGTGAGTGGATTCTTCTGCTCCAACTTTTGGCAGAGGAGGACATCCCTACTCCCTGAGAGCTGAGTGCATTTCTGATAAACCCCACCGAAAGAGAAGTTGGTCATTTTCCCCTCGCAGGAGCCATGATCTGTGTTGGCCTGAAAATTGAAGTTGGGAGAATTGAGATCGGTGCAGCCAGGGTAGGTGTTGAATGTGTAATAGTGCTTCACAGCAGTTTCCACCGTCTTTGACACCTTCCTCACCAGGGGGCCTGGCAAGTCAGGCAGCATGTTGGGGTTGACGAAGAAATGCAGTGGCAGGCCAGAGCGGTCGATGGCCACCAGGTGGTTGGGGGTTGGCCACCTGCTGCCAGGCCTGGAGGGTGATGCCTGGGTAAAAAGGAACCCCTCCGATGCTCTGCACCCTGGAGTTGGTTCGGTTTGAGAGGTAGCTCTTGGTGAGGACATTCTGTGAGATATAGTTTTCCTCAAGTTTGAAGTTCACGGTGTTTTGGAAGGCAAGTCCAGCAGAGGCGGTCACGGCACTACGACTGCTCTGGCTGTCTTGGAGAAAGGAGGTCTTGATGTGGTCCTCCTGAATAAGAGCAGCCCCAGCATCCACACTGGTGATGACATGGGTGCCATAGTTGAGGACCAGGAGTTCTGCCAGGTAGGTGGCCATCCTCGTCTGGTTGTTCTCTAGACGGTCAGAGATGTCAAGGAGCTCCTTCCTGAAACCTGAGCTTAGCTCTAAAGTTGGGTTGATTTTGACTGTGTAGACGAGGTTTCTTACCTGAACTCGGGT